GGCTTTCCACGGTGAGGAAGCACCACCGCGGGATGGAGCCTCCCTGTGCCACGTGGGCAGCGCTGCCCAGCGAGGGGTCACCTGGGCTGGAGGGGGTTCTTAAATTGCTCCATGTTGAAGCTGCAAAGTCAACGTAGCGTCCAACCCAGAGCCGCGGGGCGTCCAGCACCGACTGCGCCCCCCGAACAAAGTCCTGGCTGGAAAAGGCCACGTGTGCTCAGCTCCCACGGGACTTCCCTGCCTTGCCACCCGTGCCCCAGGGTGATGGTGGTAGGGGACAGTCCTGGCCAGTGCTGGTTGAGACCTACAGGCAATGGGATGCTCCCAGCACTGCCTTGGTCCAGGTTCAGCTGCATCCATCCATCCACCCCCGGGAGGTGTGAGATGGAACACGATGGGGAGATGCCACCACCCCACACATCGCTGGCGCAGGTTGCCCCGAGAAGCTGTGGCTGCCCCATCCCTGGAGGTGTTCAAGGCCAGGTTGGACGGGGCTTGGAGCAACCTGGGCTGGGGGGAGGTGTCCCTGCCCAGGGCAGGGGGTGAAACGGGATGATCTTCAAGCTCCCTTCCAACCCAAACCATTCTATCTGTGATTACCCCTGGGGTGAAATCAGATGGTGGAAGCAGCAAACACCATCCGCCTACAAACCTCCACGCAACGCACCCTCCCTCACCCCATTTCCAGGCCGGCTCCCCGGGAAAGGAGCAGCTCTCCTGCACGCCCCGACACACACGCAGCCGCTCTCCGCGGCGACGTTGCCGGCAGCGGCCCCCTTCCCCGGCTGCAGCTCCCGCTTTTCCATGTGCTGTTATTTATTTCACAGTGGTGCTATTCAAGGGAGTGACTCATCTGGCCGGGTCCCAGCTCCCGCCGGGCGCAGTCTCTTCCCCGCACCCCCCTGCCCTTTGTCGTGGGATTGTGGGGGGGACGGGACGGGGGGGATGACACAGGGGCTGCACCGGGCTCCGACGCTGCTTCCTGGTCCTCGGGGATGTAGAAGACCCCTGGGGACAACCCACCGGGGACTTGTCGCCTGCTCTGTGGCACTCTCAAGAGGTTTATGGGGCCGCTGGGATGCGTGGAGTCAGGGTGCCTGGGTCTCCTCGTCACTGGGGGGGGTCTGATCTTTAAGGTCCCTTCCAACCTAAACCATCTATGACTCTATGACACCGGGGCTCCATCCTTCACCTATTCCCATCTCACCTCCTGAGCACGGACCCTCGGGATCGTTGGGGATGTGGGGCCGTTGGTGACCCCCCCCCCCCCCCCCCCCCCCCCCAAACCAAAACCAAGAACAGTTTTGAAAACAGGCAGCAATGTTATTTTGAATTTCGCTTTCATTTTAAGGATGCTGTCGTCTT